AAGGTAGTTTTGGCATTGAACATTGTATTGTAATGTGCTAGAATTTAATCAGACAAGACACTACTCTGTAACTGTAATGAAAATGTTACAAAAACACAGAGCAAACAGATAGAGGTGAATCCCTGACTAAAACAAAGCATGCACAGTATTTTGTGCTGCCTGACTGTTTCTATGCATAAATAGCATAATGCCTCTTAACCCCTTAGAGAGAAAAAAGGTACAAAAAGAAGGGTTAAACAGAACCTGAACACTTGGCCTACATGTTGCAATCCCTTTCAAAGTTCAGTTTTGGGTGCCGGGAAGAGCAAATAAGCCTAAAAGAGCCCAAAAAAAAATCATAAGCCCAGCCCTCAAAGATAACATTTCCAGAGGAATCAGATGGCACCTGTCACGTAGGCAAACTGTCAGGTTTCCTGTAGTAAGATACCTGCACAATAGCAAACACAGAGAAACCAGCACAACAGCAAATAAAGACAAATTCTTATGCCTGCATTTAAAAAGGCCCACCTCACTGCAAGACAATACGTTCTGGGCTGTGAGTGTTTCTTTTCAGCGTAAACCTGCACGACATGTTTTTGTCACAGCCGCACTCCTCATTCTATGCTGTCCTGTTAGCATACATACACATGCTATGTAGTCCAAAAAGGAGCAATCTGCTGAATATATAAGAGGGATGATTGTAATATCTCAAACTTGGCCACTCTAAAGTGCAAATCATTTGGCTTTTGCTTTGCAAATTGGCTTTTAACAGCATACACATATAACAAAGGAAAAGCAAAAGTGAAAGCACTCTCAAGGATCATATATCATGAAAAAAAGACGCAAGTTTGATGTAAATATCCCTCATTTCCTAAACGCCTGGTCTCAAATCACACAACGCCCTTCTTGACAAACCAGCAGACGTCCTCCCATCTTTACAGAGTATAGCCTGTTATGACTTTAAATACATTAAAAAAAATGATGACGATAATAATGTCAGTAGTTTCTATCCATCTACCAGTCTCTAATGGATTTTCACCTACGACTATTCCCACTGGACTAAAACGATAATATCACTTGAAATAACATGTTCTTTCAGATAATTAGCCTTTTTATTATTGTTTGTTTGCAGCTTCAAACCTGAAAAAAAAAACACATTCTGGAGAGATAAGCATCCCCTCACAACACAGTAGAGCTAGCTGATAAACTATGTCAAATTAGATGGAAGAAAAGGAAAAGACACTTGTTTTTTAATTATTAAAAATCTATTATTAACAGCCATTTAAACTGTGACATCATTCTACTAAATGCTGGAATTATACCATCATGAAATAACATAAGTTATGAACTACCTACAATTGTATCTTTAAACTGAATTAACAACAAAAACATGGAAATTTTAATATATTGAAGAACACTAGCTCTCTGGACCTCTGATAGCATCCTATAGAGGTATCCCAGCAATTTCTATGGGTTAAACATTTTTTCTTCTAACATTTCCATTATGGTCTTTGTTTATGGGTTAATTATAGTGAAATAAGTATTTGAGGGACTTGGGTACATGGCTGTGAACTGCTTCACTGTAGCTGATATGTTAGTTTCAGGCTTGAAACTTGAAACAAAAGCAGAAAATTTTATTTCCTGATGGCAGTTAGACCACCACAACCAGCTGCTACATGTACACACTTTAAAATGTATCTTGTGGGTTGACTTTGCTTTTAACAACTTGTTTTAATTTGGTAAAGTGCCACAAATTCTAAACAATTACTTAGCATGTATTAACAGAAGTGTTTTTATGAGAAAAGGACATAAAAGTTGTTTTATAAGTCTGAACATTAAACAAATATTAGATCTGTGTTCTGTATTTCCAAAAATAAAATAATTTATGTGGGCCCGCTGCAGAATTTCAGCCAATTTCTGTTCAATGGGATTAGTAATAGGAAGTGGAACAGCTCTTTTAGAGCGTCTCTGGTTTTACTTTGAAACTACAAACCGGAAGTGTATGCTTGCGTTTGTTTTGCTTGACGCCTGAGTTGCTTGAGGAAGTCAAAGCGATATGAACCAGTGTGACAATATCATAAAATGTTCACTGTTAAACAATTATATGTCTGTCTTAATCTGATAAACCCATCTGTGATCAACGAGGGTTTAATTATGGGTGGTTACATGAAACTTTAACAGGAGCAACAAGCGAGCACTGAACGCTTGTGGCTACAGCGGAGGTTCACATAAACCAGCAGTTGTCGCTTCTCTCGATCAGGAAGAGGGGATTTAAACAGCTAACCGTTAAAAGTTAAACGGCGAAGTCCTGGTTGGGATATTTGTGCCGTTGTAACACGGTTGCTTAAACATCTTAAACAAACAGCAGAGCCAATCTGCGTTCACTTCTTCTGCCGAACATTTGAACCCTAGTCGTGGATTTGGCAGGTTACCAACGGAAATTAGCATTTTTATCCACCGAGCTAGTTTCGCCCGAAACCCCGTTTCAGTAGTGATAGCTGTCAATCAGCCGATTTGGCCGATAAACACAGCGAAGTATACTCGCCGTCAGACCCGGTTCGTGAACACGGATGAATGACCTGCGCGTTTAAATACTGGACGAACATAACGTTATTTCCTGTAATCAACTAATTAACCCTGTGGTATATTTTCACTACCCAATAAAAATGTAGAACCGCCATGAAGGAAAACAAAAAAACATGAAACAACAACAACAAATGCACATCATTTTAGTATAGAACTCGATTTAAATTAGTGGACACTTTGCACGAGCCCTTACGTTAATACGTGTTTTTGGAGGTGGGACTAACGGGAGAAGTGGGGGTCAAGAGAATGACGGGAAACTTACCTGAGAGTTTGGGAGACCGTGGGTGCCTGACGTGCGGGATGTCGTCGGGGAGATGTCGGTCAGCGGGACGGAGCGGCAGCGGCGTCCTGGACCGGAGCCGCCATGTTCATCTGGCTCAGAGGCTCCTCGGCTCGGCTGTTTATCTTTACCAGTAGACCCCCCTCCTCCGTCTCCACCGCCACCACCCCCACCTCCACTCATCTCATTACCACACGCCAGAGCTGGGTGTCTCTGCCCTTTCTCAGCCTCACTCGTGCACGCAAACTCCCGTCAGCTAGTTATTCAAAGGGAAAACTGAACTAAAAGCCCTGAATGCAATTTTTATTTCTATTTTATTTGTGAGATAGTTTGTGACTTTTTGTTTTGTCAGTTCTGACTGCGATAAAAGAAAAGTAAACCACCAAAATAAGACACCCATATAAAGTCCCTTTTTTCTTTTTCGTTATGGGAACATTCACATTTATAGAACAAATGGTGAACGACGTATGATACTTTTAAAAACGCAGTTTCAGCAATATGTTGTATTACGTGTGCATTACAGTTTAACGCAGATGTGCAAATAATTAATTAAGACGTATTTATAAAGCGCATTTAAACAGCTGTATAAGACAACAGAAAGTTAATATAACCTAAATTACAAATTAATATAAAAAATGGGGGTGGCCAAAATATAAAACAAGATAACAACCGGCCGTCACAGTCATAGTCAACAGATTAGGAATTCCACCATCTTTGATGCAACTCAGAAAGTCCCATAATCCTAAAGTTTGAGACCAGAACAGGTGACATGAAGTAAGAGTTCTTGGAATTAAACAGCTGTAGTATTTTAATCTATAATTAGAACTTTGTTGACAGTGACTCACCAGGTATTGCAGTGCGAAATTATGAATAACTTGACTGAAATTTTAAAACTTTGCAAACAATCCAGTGAGCAAGATCGGTTCTTTCTTGCAGGCTGGTTCTGCCCCCCTTGTTTGACACCGCTGCTTCCAGATATAGTATGTAGGGTGTAGTTAGTAACTTACAAAATATTTTCCTGTAGTCTCTTAAATACATGTTCTCCCTTTGCCAATACTTAGTGAATGCCATAAACATGCTCATACAGTTCTAAGATTTAGACGCTCTGACAGTGGCCTATATATGTGAAAGTGTATTTCACAAATTAAACCTACAATTATATTTCTGTCCACAATACACCGTATAGGTGTTAGGTGTCCATCAAATGTCCTGCATTAGTTATGCACTGCAGTTTTTTTTAGTGTAAGGTGAGAGATTTTCAGTAAAGACACAAATGAATCCCAAATGAGCAAAATGTTGAAAAGGGAAACATGGAGGTCCATGTACATAATTCACTCACAGTTTAATTTTAACCTTTTTTTTCACAGTATTCCAACGCATATTTACATATAATATTTTTTTAAAACAAGTTTCTAAAAAACTAGAACAATTATAATGCAAATTATTGTAACTGACCATGGTACGATGAATTTTGCCATAAAATTAAGAGATACTGCCACCTAGCGACTGACTGTGTGTGTGCAGCATTTCCAGTGCAAAGTTTAGAGATTCATTAACATGACTGAAAAGACAGACGGCTTAAAGTTCGCAAAGGGAGAAAACAGCTGGATATAAAATATAAATATATTTCTGTACACATCACTATTTAGATTTCTCATTGTGTCACGGTCAACAGTCTGGGAAAGCACCAAAATGTTTTATTTTCCCCAGTTCCCATTCCCATACACACACTTTATGCTTTATTTGACAAATCTTTCTTAACCGAGTGCCTGCATAAAAAAATTCTATACCCAGAAACAGCTGAACAGTTAAGCAATGAATTTCCTTTTACCCACATGAAACCTTTCTTGAGATATTGCAATAACACACCTGTGATAGGGAAGTGCCAGCCTCATAAATAACAACTCAATGACAAATGTTATGAGATTATTTACTTTCTGGGCTTCATTATATACAAAACTCAGTAAAATAAAGTACAGTACATTCATTTTATACTGTATAAATCCTACTCATCCCACTTACATGACAAGAAAGTATTGTTAAATGGAAGACAATGCTGACAATTATTTTTAAATCAACACAAAAAGCTCACTTTAACAGCCTCAACTCAAAAAAAGAAGACATAGAATCAGTTAAGCAGTTTTAATTAGGGGGGGGAGACAGGGGAAGTGTTAGGGGATGAGGTTATTCTTCATGCGGCCACAGGCGGCTGACCTTGAGGCAAATTTTAGCCTTGTTTAACTATAACACAGGCTGCAGCTCAGTCCTGGTGAGTCCCTTTGTTTTCTGTGCCTTGTGTGTTTTGAGTTGTGAAATATTTGAAGCAACGGGTGTGACTAATACAACAGATTTTTCCTCTAGAACATTTCTCAATCAGCACTGGTGTACAGCACAAACATAGCGCTGAAAGCAATCATCTCGCATTCAAAAATCATTAGCTGTTGATCTTGAAAATCCCAGCCCAACGCTCCATTTCATCTCACTGTCAGTGGACGTCACAGATTGCTCTTCCATTTGCTGCTCTGTGAAGATTCGTTCACTGCGGGAAAGAAAGGTTTACATTTGTGTCACAGCCAAATTTTCTAAATGACAGCAGCACAGTTATAATTAACCTGCAGTCCTAAAGTATAGTAACTAAAACTACCAACTCACAGTCGTATACCTCTGCTCACCATGCATGTTGAAGTTTACAACCTGTCTATTCAGACTCATCTGTTACAGGACAGAAATTGGTTTCATGAGGTCACAGTTACCTTGAACTTTGACCACTGATTTCTTATCAGTTCATCTATGAGTCTAAGAGAACACGTATCTCTGATATAATCATGTTCCTCCCTCCCTAGATATTCCTGATATATCACGTTCGAAAGAATAGGATGGATGTGAAGTCACAAAGACTTTGATCTTTGGTCACCAAAATCTAATCAGGCCTTCTTTGAGTCCAAGCAAACCTTTGTACCAAATGAGCAGAAATTTCCCAGCAGCAACAAAGAGCTGCTGCCAGAGCTGAGGCATTAAAAAAAACAACATGGTGAGATACGTCTATTTTGTTGGATCATATTTAAATCATTACAGTATCTGCTGGAACTTATTTGTAAAGGAAGTAAATGAGACCATACCCAGACTGATTCTGCCTTCTTTCTCCAGCTTCTTTAAGTGATGAACCAGGTTCACATTAGCTGCTTGGTGCAGGTGTTTAGGTGTGTCCTGAGAGAAAAGCAACACAAGTTTCAGTGTCATTTTTTTGTGATCCAGCCTCAAAACAGATCAGTCTGTATGGGATCAGGCCAAGGTCAAAGTCAATTGTATAGCACATGCTAAACCACCAGAGCTGAGAAAAGTGCTTCACAGGCAGCCAATAATAAAACAGAAACATTTCAAGAAACCGTTTAATTCTGCATTTAATTCCGAGTTATTATTAATCTCTCTCTTTTTAAGTCTATTTCTTGTAATATTGTTGATCATCTGATTAGCAGAAACAAATGCTCTGCAATGAGTGTGAACATCGACAAGATCAGACAAGTACAGCAGTGCCAGCCCATTTAGAATGTAATCAGAAGGGATTAGATTGCTTCCATGGTCAAAGATGGTAGAATTACTGGTAGAAGTCTACCCAGTCTACCTTTGACAACAAGCTGGAAACAGCATCAAAGGAAAAGAAGGTTTTTCCTGACCTTGTACACAATCTTGACAAGCTCCATGGAACTGAAAGGCTTTCCTGCTCCATCCTGAATGGCTGCCAGGATCTGTTGTTCTCTTTGGTCCCTGTGACTGATGTAGTGTCTGATCTTAGAGCCAGCATCCTGAACCACAGGTCCGTGGCCTGCACAGAGAACAGCAGCAGCAAGCTTTTTCTCCAGTCATCGGAAAGACTTTGTTAAATGAATGCACGTCAGAGAGGCAGAACTCAAAGAAGCACAGCCGGTAGCTCTGAAACAAGTAAAGTCGATCAACGGACAATTTATTGGCAGCTATTTTGAAAATAAGGTAAATATTCACTGGTTTAAAAATAAAAAAAGAATTATTCGTGGCGTTTCGGTGAGTGAATAGGTGCGGATCTTAGAAGTGGAAGTCATAGAGTAACTTATAACAATGTCATGAAACACTCCTCGCAATAAATATGGAAAAACAATTTACCATTATCTAATATAATGGAGACGATGATCTGTGATACAGCATGGTATCTGCAGAATGGTGTATCAAACTAGACTTACCTACATTTTTTTATTAAAATATACATTTCTCACTGGTGTAGTGATGATGTACCACATTGTGTGATTGTGTGCAAACAGGTTGAGGGGGGGGAAAAAAACATTATCCAGAGGGTTTTTTAAGAAATAAAACAGAGGGCCAAGCATCAGCGTATCCTTGCTCACCAGGGTAGATGAGGTCAGCCTCCGAGTCCAGCAGGATTTGCAGAGATTTCATGTAGTCGTAGAGGTCTTCAAACACGGCCGTGCCCTCGCCCAGGATGCAGTCTCCAGAGAAGATAGCCCGCTCCTCCTCCAGCACCAAGGCCATGTGGTCATCAGTATGGCCCGGAGTGAAAAGCACTCTGGGAAAAAGAAATGGCTCTCTGCTCAATTGTCTGATTGTAGATTCAGACAAAAGCCATGTCAGTGTGCAGAATGATAATAACCATAACTAAAGGAATATTAACAAATTTTATTTTTTGTTGGTACTGCAGCAGATTTCATGATATTGGTTTGTATATTTTCACCCTGAAAAAGTCTTTGAGCTATTGTTCTTCTGTGTATATTATGACAGATGTATTTTTAATGCTCTTTTATAAATTCACAACGTGTAAAAACTGAACTGACTTGAGTGTGGCTCCCTCCGTCTCAACAACATCTCCATCTTTTAGGTAATTGTAGTCTTTGCTTCCTGCTGTCTCTCTTGCTTTGTTGGAGCGAGGCAGTTTGCTGACTCGGACCTCAGAACCTGTAAGATAAAAAAAACCCCTAAGAAATGAATACTGACTCACTGAGTCTCTAAGCCAAAAAAGTACAGGCAGTTTTTGATTCACTAAACTAATAACAGATTTTTCATTAGAAGGTGGCTTTTAGATAGATTTCACGATTACAGTAATGATGAACGGTGAAGTAACCCAACTATACCCACACATTCAGGGGCTCACCAGTTATGTCCCTGCAGATATCTTCTACTCCACCTGTGTGGTCGTGATGCCAGTGTGTGACGATGATCTCCTGGATGCTGGTGCTGAACTGCTTCAGTGCCTGTTTCAGGCTGCTGATGTATTCAGGCACAGCAGGTTCCCCCGTGTCTATCAGCACCCGTCTGGAATATAATTGCTCATTATATATTCACCCAAAGGGTTTTAAAGGTAACTATGCATATTCATATATTCCAACTCTACCGATGAGTACTCCATTGTTCTGTCTTATAGTTGGCTATTGTTTTATAGCTGTTTTATTCACATTACAGAGAACTAAGCGCTCCTTTTCACTGCAAATGTAGTCTACTATTTTTGTTAAATATTACTCCAAACTATTATTATTTATTAGTGTATGAGTATATGCCGAAGAAACAAAAAGACCCTGGCAATTAATTTCACAATTTCAGCTTTGTTCCATCTGTCACCTTTATTATCCAGAAGCGCGAAAATGCTCAAGTTAAAAGATTTTAAATGGAATTTGGCATTAGCGCCCATTTCTAAAAGCTAAGACATTGCACGGAAAAGGAGTGTCAAGTTTTTGGCCAGCTAGTCCCTTTCAAATACACATGAGCTAAACAGACAACACATTTACTCATGTTTCCTTTTGGGAAAATGATAAACGTCACTACTGGCTCGACTAGAGTCACCTTTTGCCTGTGCCGACCAGGTAAGTGTTGGTTCCCTGCAGAGTCATCGGTCCCGGGTTACAGCCCAAAACCCGAACCACTCTAGCAGACAACTGCTCTATGCGAGGAATAATGGCGCTCATAGCTCCAGCTGGCGTGAAGTTATCAACAGTACAAAATAACAAAACATACAGAAGTAAAAGTTCAGGAGAATCTCATACAGGATATAAATCTTGTTTACTTCCTGTACGTACTAACGAAGATTTCAAAATAAAAGTCTTGAAATCGCTCATCCGCGTCAGTGTTTTGACACGATCCTCCATCACCCATTTTAAATGTGTCACTTAAAGCTTGCTGTCAGTACTGCTGTGCCTTTTATCTTATGTTCTTTTTCACATTATTATTGTAACTTTATTTCATGCTGTACTTTACAGTATATCTTTTCAATTCGAAACTGACTGGGTAAACCTATCGCATCTTTACATCTCCCACCACATCTGACTGACTCACAGTGATAGGCATGTGTGGATTGTGGGGAAAAAGGTTTCTGTGGTTTTACTGCTCTTTGTTGTCTTTGTTGTTAATGTCTTTGTCACTACACAGCATTTTCGTGTCACTTTCTTAGATATTTTGCAGGTTAAAACAAGGACCTTCTTTTCTTTGGGTCAGTACTGCTTGAGCCCATTCAACAAACAACCCATGTATATTAGTGCCATATATGAACATAACCCAGTTCTATATAATTCGAATTATTTTATAGGAGAAAAATAATGACAGCTCCAAAAATCCCCGTAAAGACTAAACCGGTCTTTTACAAGCAATAGTACAAACCAAACGCTAGATGGGGCCATTGTCCAGTTTGAGTCACCTCATACCCAGGCTGGCACATTGTGAATATATAATTAAAAATCCAAGATTATCAGTGTTTGTCAGACTGAGTATTATTAAGGATAATCACGCTTTGTAACTTTATTAATTTTAACCTCAAATATGACAACTATCTGGTCGAATGGCTAATGTTGCTGTCATTAATCCTGAAAGTTGAACTATGGGCGGTTTCAGGTCAGTCAAAATCATTAAAAACTGTTTGAAACAGGGTAGTTAATGAAGTTTCATATATATATTTGGGAATACATTAAGAAAGGTTTGCAATTGTTTTAAGGGAATTTTGCAGCAGGCCCATGGACTGAACACATAGGATGAGAACAGCTTTACAAAAATATTATTATTATTATTATTATTATTATTATTATTATTATTATTATTATTATTATCATCATTATTATTTAAACTGCAGCACTAATGCTATGTTTAAATAAAATAAATACTCTGATTTGTAGTCCAGTGGGTTCACGTGTACACAGAGATGTTATGAACTAGCCTTCTCTGAGAAGCTCATTGGTTTATTGGCTCATTTGCTTCGTTTGCTCATTCATTAAAAGTGTGTTCATGTTTGGTAGTTTGTCTATGTAGCAATTTGTGTGCATTAGTCAGTAGAAACCACACATATATATCTTTTACATAAGTACAACAAGCTTGAAAAGACAAGCTAGTGTATTCTAAGAGGAATTATGTCCATTGGATGAGCAGAAGAGTGCTGCTTTAAAAAACAAACAAACATTTGCATGCTGGTAGTATTTGACCACTTCAGGCTTTTATCAGAAACCTTTGAGGACTTTGCTTTGATTCTCCATTGTCTCTTCTTGGAGACAGTAGAGGTGTTCCAGGAATGTCCTACATCAAGCCCTGCTTTGCTCTTTTAAGCCCAAAAAATAAGAAAACTTGCTTATAGGTGCTATAAGACATGATCCTGGAGGCAATTTGGGAATGAAATTCATTATATTTTGTTTGAATAAATGTGATTTGACACTTAGAATTAATTTGGTGCTATTCCCACTCTGTACCCATCAATGCCATAATGCCTGACAATGTAATTAAAAGAGTTATTTTGTTCTGCTTTTCATTTCATTTTCTCATTTAATCAGCTGTCCCACTGCCTCGTAGATTTCACCACAATGACGCCCAATCAAAGCAAATGTTCTGAAATCTATGTAACTGTACATCAGCTAGATAGTACAACGGATAACGGTGCTACACAGTATTAGAAGTTAGCCTTACAGAAAGTACTCATTTGCAGAATATTGTTGTTAGTTTTGTTGGATGTCTGAATAAGTGTGCTTTGCTAAGTTTTCTCTTTGGATGATAGTTTAATCTTCAAGATGAGATTAAACGTGCATCTCTCTTTTACAGCCGGGCTGGTGAATTTCATATGAATAGTTTACAGAGTCAACAGTATGTTTGAAGAGTTAGTGCAAAAACATTGCAGAGATAAGTGCGTATGCTTAAAGATGCTACCAAAATCACACATGACACATACTTGGAATCAGTTTTTATCATTTTAAATTCTTAATTAAAGCAGATTTCAAGAGCTTTATCTTTTCATACACTCAGATTAAACATGGTGAGCTATGCATGCTGACAGCCTCTGCTTTGTTTCCTATAATGAGCAGGGGATCTCTTACAGACTAAGATGGAATCAAAAAGTTGTGAGATATGCAGTGCAAGTGGGCGTGATGACAAGCAACTTTCTAAACAGTGGACTGTAATTGGTAAGGACTAGAAAGTACACAGTTTAGCACTAAATGTCAGTTGTAACTCCATAGCTTGTTGGCTTAAGTTGTGAACAGTTTGTAACAATATGTCCACATTCATCATAAGAACAGAGGGGAATCATTTAAAGACTCAAGACTGTGTGTCAGATGGGGACCTTCTTTTTTATTTTTTGTTTTGTTTATTTTTTTAAACATCACATGAAGTTCTTGAGGGAAATTCAGTACAATAGTGAAGTAAAAAATAAATCAGCAAGTTAAAGTTTCACTCAGGTTTCATGCCCCTGGACTAAATCATTCATGTTTAATGATTGACTGATTATTAGGCATCGCTACAAACTTGTGTTGAACTCATGAAGCCAGGATTTTCAAAAAGACAAGGAAAGGTAGAAGGCACCCTTCTTACTCATAAAGGACTAAATGTTCTTTTTCTGAATGTCTTTTAACCCTATAATCTTTAAAGTGCCACATAGATAAACTGAAATAAAGTTTCCTTTGGTGAGAGTGGGTGGAAAATCTTGTTCATTAATCTGTTAAAGTTTTATTGTTTGGGTTTCAGGTCTTTACTGTGTGTTAAATTCAGCTTAGCTGTCAGTGGATTTTTATGGAGGGATATTTTATTTGTGTCTTCTGTAATTTCCTTTTTAACTGACCAACACATTCTTGGCTATTACTATTCTCTTAGTACAGGAAATAAACTCTACACCTCTTCTGTAACCTCCCTCCCACATCACTTTATGAAGGGAAATACAACACATGATTATTTCCAAGGGGCTTTCCATTATGTTGAGGTCATTAGGTATTTTCCTGAGTGCATGACCAGGATTCCTACATGCATTACAACATCAGATCGATGCAGTCAAACGAAGCCAAAAGCAGATCGAGATGCAGCGATAAATCGCCCGATGGACGACTCACACATCCCCCTTAACACCTTGTCTGATATTTGTCTCCCATAAATCATGACCCATAAAATCAGGCATAAAAGAGGGAAGGATTCAGCTCTCTATAATATTTACAGGTGGAATAAGTGGAGGGGAAAGCAGCGAGACATTATTTCCCTAAATGAAATAGACCCTGGCAACTGGGGAATCCAACGGCCCCACCCTCCCCTCTCTCTCTCTCTTTGTAATTACACAACATAATGGTGGTGCAGTCGGCCCGTAATCTCCCATTATAATCAGTCTCGGCTGCCTCCACTCGCTCTCCACCATGGTTTCTAATTCAATATAAATGTAAATGACTGGGGGAGAGAAAGAGGGTGGGAGAGGAGCTCAGGAACAGTATAGAGTGTAAATGTGGGAGTCTGATCTCACGACAAATCCGCACTCATCTTTACGAGGAGCTGTGTTCATACTTGTAATAATTTATACAAACTGGGTATTGAGTGAGAGGCCCGCAGACTGCTCCTGTGGTCTAAAGCAGACAGTGGGTTGTCATGGCATCTTAATTTGAAAGCTTAATGAGTAAAACTTCAGTGGACTGACACATTAAAGATCCAGATCCTATCATGGAGACGATTTTGGTTTTAAATGTCCATTTTTATGGACTGGTAGTTTTTGACTAAAGTTTTTGTTCTGTTTCATCTTCAGAGGCTCAAAATTAACTGGTCAAGCTAGCATTATGTTAAATATAAGGGTTGCTTTTGCAGTACGCTTTGTGTCAGTACCCATTCGCACTGTGAAGTCTAATCAGTTTTGCAGCATTTGGCTGAATCTGAGCAGAGAGAATAACCCTGTGCACTCCAGAGTTCATCCTACTGCTTCTATCAGCAGTGACATCATTGACCCATGGGCTGATTCCACATCCATGTCACATTACCTCCGTGTTGTCCGACAGATAATGTTTTATACTTTTTCTTTATCATAGTTTTCTCTTCCTTATATTCTGGTGCAAGTTGATCTTGGCTTTATTTGTCCAAATAATGTTTGTTGTTGTCTGTAACTGTAGGTGGTTTGCACCTTGTTGTAGACCCTCTTTTCCTCCACTGGTGACAATGACACGCCTACCTTTTTGAGAGTGTTCTTGGCTTTGTTGGATGTTGTGAAGCTGTTTTTCTTAACCACTTAAATTACTATTTCATCGTGCACTTCTGTTATCTTCTATGGTCTTTCACGCCTTTGTGTGTCAGCCAGTGCATTACTTCTTTTTACAAATACAGCAGATTACTGATTTTGGTCACTCCTAAAGTCTCTCCTACCTCTCTAGTAGGTTTAATTTCATTTCTTCAGCCTAATGATGGCTTACCTCATTTGCACTGGCATCTCTTCGGACCTCATATTCAGCTCTTTTGAATTAACTTCAGATATTATCTGTTTCATTTGTCATGAAATAACAAGGGAACAGGCCTCACCTGGCCATGATACTGTCAGTCAGTTGTCCAATTAATTTTGAGCCTCTGAAAATAGGAGACTATGAATAAAAATGGATGTAAATGCTAGACAGTTGAGCCGTTGTTTTGTAAAATCCCTTGAATTAAAGCTGAAAGTCTGCACTTTAGTCGCATATTGTTTGATTTAGAATCTACTCTTGTAATGCGCAGAGGCAAAAGTAGAAAAACTGTGTCTTTTAAAGACTAAGATCAGAGGGGAAATTGCCATTATTCTCACAGCCCTGTGCAA